TACAGGCTTCATAACTTTTGCTGTCAGTTTAATTGCTAGGCTTCACTGGCCTCATTGTGGGTGAATTTCATTACAATATACTTTTGAGGTATTGATATAGTTTCCATTGTTTTTTGTAAATGTATTATTGCAAAACACATTTGATAATGTGTTATTTAACATGAGACAATTCTCATTTCTTCAAGTTGAAATTTGATTGCAGAAACTTCCTATGGCAAATTCCTTACAGTGAAGTTGCGTCATCAATGTTATTCGTGAATCATATATGGCAACGGATACTATAGCTATAATAAGACACAACATCGCGAGTATTTTGTTGTTTTTGATTGAATCCCCAAGTAGTTAAATATGCATATATTGTGGAATTAACATAATTAAGATTAAATTCCCTAAAACTCATTGTTATATTTTTCTTTTAAGTAATGATGTATCCTTTCACTACTAATTTCTTTTTAATATTAAATTTTTATTTTATTTTTTTAATTTCCAGGGTCCGGGCATTGCCCGGGGTATTAACTAGTTATTATTAATACGAAGAACAAAAAGCGTGATTCTTCACCTCGCCTACGTTTAAAATTCCCCGTAAATCAGTGAGTTGACTCATTCCCGTCCTCCGTTGAGTCAATTTTGTCCCCATTTCACGAGTGCGACGCCCTCTTCTTACCGGATAATAATTTTTTTAAATATATTGTAATTATTTACAGGTTAATTGAGGATGAAGAAAGAGGTTTATGTGAGATTCGAATGTGCAATTCATAGGAGCTGAATATCCCTAACCAGGGTCGAAGATAAGTGGGTTGTTTTATTGGATAATAAATTTAATTAGATAATAATATTAGAGTTTTAATTTTTACTTATGGATTATAATTTGAAGATTTAAATTCTTTTAAAATTATAAAATTTAATACAATGTGTAGACATGAATTAGTATGTTTTTCAATGTTATGTGATTTCTATATACATTTTAATTTTTATATCTGATGTATGTTATGTTAAAAATTTCTTTAAATTAAATTATTTTGTCTATATTGTGAATTTCAAAAAATGACTTTTTAAAATAACTGTATTTTGAGTTATTAATATTTTCAAATTTCATTTAATATAATTATGGTTTTCAATTTTTAGTTTTAATTTTTAAAAATTTAAAAATCTTAAAATAAAATTAAATAATCCTATAAATTAATTAAGTTTGGAGTGTAGATATTTATTTTCAAATTTTATATTTTAGTACCAATGACCTATTGATTCAAGTGAAAGGCGAAACATATATTAGGAAAGTTTCTTCTTGATAGTATCAATGTGGTTATTGAATACCAAAATGTTAATATAAAAAAAATTATACCCTAGTAATTTTAATTTATAAATTTAGTTTTTAATTATTTAAATTATAAAAATTAAAATAAAAAATTCAAAACCATAATCATAAACGAAATCTTATTTTTTGCATTTCAAAATAATTTAATTCACTATTCCCCTACTTTTAAATATTACTTTATCTCTTTTCCCTTTTTTTTTTTCCCTAAAGAAGATAGTATTTATCTACTTTCGTAAAATAATAATAGAGACTTTAGAGATTTTTAGGATAATTAATTTTCAACTCGGCCGAGTTGGAATCCGCTGACCCGGAACCAAATTTCCGAGTTGAACCCTGCAGGTTAGGCGAGAAAAAAAGAAAAAGAAAAATAAAGGCGGTGTTCTCTGAATCTCTAATAGCATTAACTATTAGGGCTCCTTTCCATCTCTCCCCTCCCTCACAAATCTCAGAGCACATCTTCAATGGCGGTTTTCAAACCCTAGAAAGGTATCTTCTTTAATCCGTTCTATTTCTATATTTATGCCTATTTCGACAATCAGATTAGATTTTCCAATAAAAATTTGAGGGAAAAGGAAAAGCTGATTGCAATCCATCGTTGACAACATTGTTCTTCATTCGATGCGCTTTTAGTTTTTTGTTTCTGTTTGTGTTTGTGAATTTTGATCGATTCAGCTGAAACCCTAGATCTTTGGAAACTGGAACGGCGGAATTTAGTTCGGAAAGACAAGCGTGAAATCAAAGGATTGTGTTTGGAAGTCAATTTAATCCAATAAAGGGGCTTATTTCGATCTGTTTTGATCGATCAATGGAGCCGCCCCAGGTGCCCAGACCAAGAGGTAGGCCGAGGAAACGGAGACCAGAGGACGAAGGAATAGATGGAAAATCAAATTCTCGAAACAAAAGGTTTGCGGCGGAGACAAGATCTATTGCATTCGTGGGTAGACATGTGTTGAAGGAGTTCCAGGGTAGTGGGGTCTTTTTAGGGAAGATTGTTTCTTATGATTCCGGATTGTATAGAGTTGAATATGAAGATGGTGACTGTGAAGATTTAGAGAGCAATGAGCTTCGTGAGTTAATTTTGGAAGATGCGTATTTTGATGATGAGTTGATCCAAAGAAGGGGAAAATTGGATCAACTACTTTTGGAAAGGAGTTTAAAGAAGATGAATGAGGGTGGTGTTCAAAATAAAGTGGAGGATTCAAAAAATGAGGTAGATGGGGTTTCAATTTCTACACTTAATGACTTGAGTGGTGCATTGACAGTTGAGAATAATGAGGAGCAAGTTGAAGAAGATGGAGGTTCTTCAGGTGATTCATGTGAAGATGTGTATGGCAAGGACACTAGTTCAGAGGATGAGGCTCCTCGTCTACCACTTCCGGAGTTGCCACCCTCTTCCGGAACCATAGGTGTACCAGAGGAGTATGTTTCACATTTATTTGCTGTTTATGGTTTTTTAAGGTCATTTAGTATTCAATTGTTTCTCAGCCCATTTGGATTGGATGATTTTGTGGGGGCACTGAATTTTTCTGCTCCAAACACTTTGTTTGATGCTGTGCATTTTGCTTTGCTGCGAGTATTGCGACATCATCTTGAAGCACTCTCTTCTGAAGGCTCAGAGCAGGCATCAAAATGCTTGAGGTATGTGTATTCATTCACACCTAATCAACTATAGTTGTGATGCCATATCTTTATTTACAAATTTGATGGTTTTGAGATGGGTTATTTGATTGGGAAAAAGTCTTCTTCACGATTTATCATATTGTTTATTTCTATTGCCCAAAAATGTGAGTACTGATTTTTTTTTTAATTATCGTTTGGCCTTAATCTCTTAAACTAGTAAAGGAGGAATTCGACAGTTTATCTTTCTTTGCTTGCCCACCCCGCCCGCGCCCCCCCCCCCCCCCCCCCCCCCAAAAAAAAAAAGAGGTATAGTTAAATAACAATATGGTCAGTTCATTTCTTCTCTTTATCGAAGCAGCTAGACAGAGTTATTTCACCTTTTTTCTTACTTTAAAATAGATCTAATGGGAGTTGCTGCACCCTTAACCAAAAAAGGGAAGGAAGAAGAAAATGCATACATTTTCATAAGTTCCTGTGATTAATTTCCATCAATAAAAATTCAAAGTCATTCTTCATACTCTATCTGCAGGAGCCTTGACTGGAGCTTGCTTGATGCACTGACTTGGCCTGTTTATTTGGTCCAGTATATTACAGTAATGGGGTACATTAAGGGACCTGAGTGGCAAGGATTTTGTAAAGATGTCTCAAAGGGGGAATACTACTCCATACCTGTTTGTAGAAAGTTAATGAATCTGCAATTCCTATGTGATGATGTCTTAGAATCTGTGGAATTAAGAGCTGAAATTGATATGCGTGAGGAGTCAGAAGTGGGAATGGATCCTGATGCAGTTCCAATGATTAATTCTGAAAATGGACCAAGAAGAGTTCATCCAAGATTTTCTAAAACTTCAGCTTGCAAGGAAAAAGAGGCGATGGAAATAATTTCTGGAAACCATGAGTTGAAGTCATCTTTACAATCAAAATATTTTGCTTTTAAAGGCACCGAAGTGAGCACTGATGGTGTTGATGCCAATATGGATACAAACAGTGATGAATGTCGCCTTTGTGGTATGGATGGGACACTGCTTTGCTGCGATGGATGCCCATCAGCATATCATTCAAGATGCATAGGTGTCATGAAAATGCATATACCAGATGGGTCATGGTACTGTCCTGAATGCACAATTGATAAGATTGGACCAACTATTGCAGTGGGAACATCACTTAGAGGAGCTGAACTTTTTGGCATTGATTTGCTTGGCCATGTCTTCTTAGGTACTTGCAATCACTTGCTGGTGTAAGTTTTCAAGACCTTCCTTTCTGTATTTAATTGCTCCTGGTTAAATTTAAATGCATTTGTGTTAACTTGCTAGTTTATGCTTGCTTGCTTTAAATGTGAATTGCTAGTCAGTTTCTTCTTTTTGCATTACTTTTCTCTGTTGTTTTCAGTAGTTCTTCATTACGTCCATCTTTCACATAATTTTTCAAAATGTAATTTGCAGACTCAAGGCCTCTGTGAACTTGGATTCATATCTGAGATATTACAACCTAAATGACATTCTGAAAGTCCTTAAAGTTCTTTCATCTTTCATTCACTATTGGAAATCATACTTTGGCATCTGCAAGGCAATTATGAAGTACTGGAACCTCCCAGATAGTATCTGCTCGCTTATGGAAACAAATGAAATGGGTACCAATACGCAAAGTGTAAAGAAAGATGCAAAACCTGCTGCTCTATCTCCTCAGGCTTGTGGCAATGGAAGTTACAAAGTTCCAGATACGGTTGATGCAATGAACACAAGTAGTTTCAATGTAAGCAACATAGACAATGTGGGAGTTTCATATGTACAGACCTCAACAGATTTGATGAATCAAACTGACCTTCCTGATATCAGGCTATCTGAGCACAGTAATGTTGAGTCTGCTGGTTCTATTAGACAGCAAGTGGATACATATGATGTAACTCCTCACAGCTTGGTTGACAGATCAACCGTGATGGACCTTACAACATACACTTCGGAAAACATCAATGGCAGTCACCTTGGACTTATAAATGGTGTGTATTTAGGAGGATATGAATTGCACCCAAGCAAAGCAGAAAAACTGGCAGTTTTTGAAAGTGACATGAAAAATTCAGTTACTGACTCTGCATATATGGGGCTATCCTACAAACCCCAGACTTATGTGAATCACTATATTCATGGAGAAGTTGCTGCAGTTGCTGCTGCTAAGCTGGCTGTTCTTTCATCAGAGGAAAGCCAGCTTGCTGGGGTTAACAAATCAGGCAGTAACCGAAAAGTTACAACAAGTGACATCTCCCTACAAGCGAAAGCATTCTCATCGATAGCCTCACGTTTTTTCTGGCCAAGTGTTGAAAAGAAGCCTGTGGAAACTCTGAGAGAAAGGTGTGGTTGGTGTCTTTCTTGCAAGTCAGGTAAGAGGGGTTGCATGTTAAACTCTGCTGTCTCAAGTGCTACCAAAAGTGCCAAGGATATCCTTAATGGTCTTCCTCCCATTAAAAATAAAGATGGGAGCCTTCCTAGCATTGCAACATATGTTTTATACATGGAAGAGAGTTTACGTGGTCTTGTGGCTGGCCCGTTCTTAGATTTAAATTATAGACAACAATGGTGTAAAAAAGTGGAAGATGCATCGTGTAGTGCAATGAAAGTCTGCTTGCTTGAAGTGAGTTTTATTACATCCGAGCTATATCTTTTTTGCATTCTTTATTAAAATCTTGTTTTGTTAACATCATTTTCTTAAATACTTGCATGCATGTTGTCCATTTTAGCTGGCCTAGTAGATGAGACTTTTTCTTGATGAAGCTCTTGTGCAATGTTTATTTTGTTGTTTAATTACTTTTGAACTGAACATTTATTCTCTTAGAAAACAAACCTGAGTGCTTTATTAGAAGAAGTTGGTGCCTGAGATGAAACCTCAGTGGATTTCTGAACCATGTTTTGCTCTTTAGTTTAGTTCATTGTGTTTCTTTCATAAATATTTCTCTGTGTCTCTTATTTTTATTTTAGAACACACAAAATAATAGCTTTGTGATGAATGCATTTCTTATCATTTGTATTTGTATGCGCTCTATACCCTGCTTGATTTTCTAAATGGTATTTGCAGCTTGAGAAAAACATCTCGGTCATTGCTCTCTCTTCAGACTGGGTTAAGCTAATGGATGATTGGATGGTTGAATCTTCCATGATTGAAAGTACTTCATCCACTTTAGGTTTAACACAGAAACGTGGAGCAGGTAGGCGATCTAAGAAACAGTCTGGTGCGTGTGAAATTACCACTGATGACTTGGATGATAAAATTATTACCTGGTGGCGAGGTGGGAGGTTATCAAATCATATATTCCGGAAAGCAATTTTACCATGCTCAATGGTTAAAAAAGCAGCAAGGCAAGGTATCTTCTCTGAATATGTAATAATGAAAGTTGCAATTTTACATTGGTAAATTTTTAAGAGGAAAAACATTGATAATTTTATTTTACTTTTTATCCAATTTCATTAGGTGGTGTCACAAAGATTCCTGGTATTAGTTACGTTGATGGGTCTGAGATTCCTAAAAGAAACAGACAGTTATTTTGGAGAGCAGCAGTTGAAAGGAGTAAGAATTTGTCACAGCTTGCACTTCAGGTTGGTTTTTTAATATTTTATTTGAATGATTTATTGTTGCATGATCTCTGGTTCTGACAGCATATAGATTATCCTCTAAGGGGCTTATGGTTGTATAACTTTATGAAATCTGGTTCAATTTTGAATCAGGTTAGATACCTAGACCTTCATGTGAGATGGAATGATCTTGCTCGCCCTGAGCTGAATCTCCAGGATGGAAAAGGTGTAGAGACAGAAGCATCTGTTTTTAGAAATGCAACTGCTTGTGATAAAAAAATTATGGAAAACAAGATCATATATGGAATTGCTTTTGGCAATCAAAAGCATCTTCCATCACGTGTCATGAAGAATGTAATTAACATTGAGCAAACTGGTAATGGAAGAGACAAGTATTGGTTTCATGAAACACGGATTCCTTTATATTTAATCAAAGAGTATGAAGAAAAAGTGGGTAAAGCTCTTTTGACATCAGTGAAGAAGCCCTCCCGAGAGCTATCTGAGTTGCAAAAGAGGCAGCTGAAGGCTTCTCGTAGGAATATATTTGTATATCTTGCATTGAAGAGAGACAAGTTGGAGAACTGCTCTTGTGCTTCATGTCAGTTGAATGTTTTACTGAGGTAGTTTTTCACTTTGTTACGACTTCTGACATCATTTATCTTATTAATATCTGGATTTTTGTTTTCTATAACTTCTTGCTCAAAGCGTGTTTATCTTTTTTCCTTTTTAATCTCCAGGAATGCAGTCACATGCAATACATGCCAAGGTATTACATCTGCCCAGCTTCCACTTTTAAGCATTGGAAACTTTTATTGTAAATTGTGTTCCAAGTTTTATTTGGAGTTTCTGAATGCAATATCCTAAGGCTGCTTGAATTGCTCTTATATTGAATTCTTTTACCAATTTATTGATTGCAGAAGAAAGCCTAAGTTTTTTCAGATTGCAATGACTTATAGGTCCTGCTCTTGTAACTGCTTTAGTTTTCTTGACGATGCACCATTCATGTTAATGTTAAACTCATTGTCAACAAATGTTACAAGTTTGAGGGGTTTGCTACCTGAATTTTTTACAGATTCAAATAGAAAAATTGTTTTCAGGATTAGTTACTACTTATTATCCCTTGGGAATTGCTATGGGTAAATCACCAAAAAAAAAAAAAAAAGTTCTGATTGAAGATATTATTTTAAAACATGCAAGTATATTGCAAACGATTTGGTTCTTTTCTGGATATTCTGTATGAATGAATTACTTTGATGTGTTTTGATCAGGTTATTGTCACAAGGACTGTACTTCAAGTTCAATTCAAATGAATGGAAAAGTTGAGCACTTCGTCATTTGCAAGCTGTGTTGCCATGCCAATGGCCTTGCACAAAATGATGTCAGTAACAAGTTTCCAACTACTCCCTTGTTCTTGCATGGAAGAGAATGCCATAATACACCTACAGTGACCAAAAGCACACATGTTAAAGGTTCTAGCCAACCGCTAAAACCACACATCTCTCTCAGAAGCAGAGATAGTTCCATGAGAACCAAGGAAAATTGTTCTGAGGATAAGCTTGCTACTTCCAGTTCTAGCTTGACAGTGAAACCCCGCAGTAAGTTGTGTCATTGGGGAATTATATGGAAGAAAAGAAACAGCAATGAGACTGGCATTGACTTCAGGCGTGCAAATCTTCTCCCAAGGGGTGGTTTGGATAAACATTTTTTGAAGCCTGTCTGTCAAATTTGTGAACAACCCTATAATTCTGCCTTGATGTATATTCACTGTGAAACTTGCAAAAGTAAGCATTCTCTAGACGTTGGTTATCTTTTCTCTCTCAAGTATTGTGTTTTTAATCCTGTTAAAGATTTTTATTCATCCATAATCATTTGCAGAGTGGTACCATGCTGATGCGGTTGAACTGGAGGAATCAAGAATTACTGATGTTGTTGGATTCAAATGTTGCAAGTGTCGTAGGATAAGGGGACCTGGATGTCCTTACATGGATCCAGAACTTAGGGATCAAAAACGCAGAAAGCCGTTTACAAAGGCACGGAAACAATGGCAAGAAACTGAAGATCTTGACTCTGATTGTGGAACTACTGAAGCTAAAGAGTTTAAACACAGCATTCCATTGATTTCTACTGGGGATAACCTCATACCAGACGATGATCCTCTTCTTTTCTCTCTTTCAAAAGTTGAGCTAATAAAAGAGAGCACATCAGATGCAGATATTGAATGGAACAGTGCTTCCGGTATTGGACCGCAGAAGCTACCGGTCCGTAGACAGGTGAAGCGGGAAGAGGATGAGGATGGTTTTTCTGGAGCTAATCATTTTCATTCTGAATTGTCAATAAGTCACGAATCAAACAACCACATGAAACCCAATGAGGAGCCATCACTTCCTTTTGCCCAATGGGATGTCTCCGGTAATAACCCCGAAAGTGACCTGCTGTTTGACTGTGATACTCTAAACTACGAAGATATGGAGTTTGAACCCCAAACCTACTTCTCTTTTAATGAGCTGCTACCATCAGATGATGGTGACCAGGTTGATGGTTCCGATCCTGGAGATGTTTCGGGAAATTGGGAAAATCCACTTAATTCAGTTCTCCAGGATGGAGCTAGTGAAAGGTGTCCAGTAGGCACTTCTAGTAATCTAGTGGAACCCACGACCCCCGGGAAATCAAATGCTAACATGCTGCAATGTCGGCTTTGTCATCGTGAAGAACCAGCTCCTGAACTCCTCTGCATGATTTGTGGGTTTTTGATACACAGTCATTGTTCTCCTTGGGATGAGTCAGCGCTGCCTTCAGATGGCAGCTGGAGTTGTGGCCGTTGCCGAGCATGGTGTTAGCTTTCTAGATGCATCAAAAGTTTTGGTTTTTCCCTCGTTGCATCTGGTTCTCTGATCCTTAGGGGGGAAGTTGTGCTTTCATTGGACCTCATATTGCAGTTTTACAATCTGAGGAATCCATCATTCTGGCTGTTTTTGTTGGTAATTGGTCAATGCGTTTGAAGAGGAGGTTGCTCCATAGAAAGATGGGTAGGTTTGTTTTACAGTCAAATATTTAGAAAGATCTCAAGAAGATAAGCAAGTTTTTTGTTTTGCTTATCTGATCGCCTTTCTTTTTGTTTTGTATAAATCAAGACGGACCAGTAAAAAAAAAAATCTTATTTTTCAATTTATCTAAGTAATTAGAGATTTATGTTTTT